CCGGAATTTGGATGCGCGATGCGTGCTGGATCGCGTGCGAAACGCCAAAAAAGGAATGCGACAGCCTTGCAACGCGATTCCGACCGGAATGAGGTGATTCTTGACGGCGGATGTGGCTCACATGCGGCGGAGATTCCTCCAGTCTGGTGTTAATGAGTGGCGATTTCGTCTGGGTGGTTGGTGAGATTGGATTTTTTGATAGGTGAGTTCCAACTCAGCCTATTTTATTATTTTAGGGTTTTGAAAAAATTTTGAAATTAGAATTCTAAAATTAGTCTTATTTTGACTCTAATATCATGAAGATTTTTAGGAAAAAATAAATTATTAATTTTTATTTTTTATCTTTTGTGTTTACACTTAAAAGATGTATACATAGAGTAGTTATTCTTATTTTAGTTGAACTCTAATTATAGGATATAATTATGCTATTAAAACTCTAACTAATATAGTATTCTATTTAACATTAAATCCTTATCAATAATATCCAATGATAGATCTTTTGCTAATTATTTCTTCCTTTTTCTCTCTTTATCGAATTGAAGATGCTATGATCTAATGTGAAATACCGGTAAATTGGTTAATTTAAGCGTTTAAGCTCCATCTCTGACGCTAAGAATTGTACTTGTCAGTTCTGATATTGTGTTGTTGATTTAGGAGAGGAATATTTTGCTTACTTTTCCTTCTTTTGTTCTGCTAGTTTCCAGGAGTTGCAGGGTTGGCTTCTCATCAATATACTGTGGCCATTCGTCTTACACAAGACCAAAGTGCCTGTGGTGAATCATTTTTGCATCAGCAAAGTGCTCGCACGAGTGGCAGTATCTCTAATTATTCATGTTCTGAGCTTGAAGTGGTCAATTGGAGTGAAGTATTTTTCTTTAAAGTTGATTCACCGGTATACTAGTTGTTTCAATTTTAATCTTAGCAATGTTAGCATGTTGATTTTTTCATTTCAATGTAGTGCTTAAGACAATAATAATTGCTTCTGCACTCAAGAACTTTTTCAGTAAAGGATAAGATTGAATTTCATCCCACTCATATACCTAGAACTGGTATCGTTGTAGCTTCATATTGCTCTGTCATTTATTTATGTGTTCTTGCTTTATACCACACAAAATAATTCAATTGAATCGATAGGTCAAGGTGTTATGCTGAAAAAGAGGGCCCTAAATTGGAATAATTTTAGTATTGAGAAAGATCTGTGTTATTATTGTTATTATTTAGTTTTTTTATTTGGCATATTCTGGTAAATATGAAGTATTTCAATAGTTTCAAATTTGAACTATTTCTTTGTCTTAATTTGGATTAGATCCTTGATAAATATACCTATTCATATCATCGATAGGTAACTGATGCTTAGAATAAATCTGCACCTCTCCATCTATGGTGTCAGTAATCAAATTTTGTCCTTGTCTTCTAATGCAGTCTTTACCTTATTTCTTGTTTGGTTTTTTCTTGACCTTGATACTTTTGATCATTTTTATGCACAGGAGTTTTATATGTTGGAGTTAATAGTGACTAACATGGGAAGAGGTAGGTGAATTACTATTTACAGTATTTCTCAAATAGCATAGAAAATATTGGCTTAGTTATAAACTCAATATGGTTTTAGGCTTTTATATGACATTACCTACATGATACACAGGTGATCCTGTTGGATTCTTCTCAGCCCCTTTAAATCAGATAGCAGAGAGTTCTGATCAGTATGATTATGTTGATGGCTTGACCTGGATGGACTTATCCCCAGCAGAATCTATGGTAAATGCTATCCTCTATATTTCATACGTACATACATATTACTGGACATTGTTAGAGTGTAACATATAGATGTATGTCTGGCCTTGATATTTCTTTGCAAGAAGGCACGTTGATAAAAGAAGAAACTTTATAAAGGAAGAGAGGGAAAGAATTACGACAATGGGGAATATGACATCTGGCAGAACCTTTCCTCATGATTCCAACCTAACTAGCGAGTGGAAAGGTTTGAGTTTAAAGAGAGAGAGAGAAAAAGAGAGTGACGAGAAAAAGGGAGAGAGAGGCGATGGAGAGGAGAGGAACACAGACTGATCGAATGTTTTCAAGTTCATGAAAATGTATGCAGCGGAATAAAAAATTACAATTCCTTATCAAATAATACTTGAGTTCCATACAACACTGAAGTAAAAACAAAATTAATTACAAGTCTCTACAAAAGATGGACTCCTCAGAGTACAGGACAACTATGCACTCATAAAAGTTCATGGATTCATGGGATCCTCAAAGGTTTTAAGGGGAAAGATCAACGATCAGTTCCTCACTATCTTCTTCATCTGGGAGGGGGGATATGAAAATAGGTGAGTTCCATTTACTTAGTAAGAAAAAACAGTATTTAAAAAATATTACTAAAATTTTAAAGGTAATTTAAACTGAAATAAAGTACCATTATTACTTACTATCAGGAATCATGTTAGGAGTTCTTTACTAATTATGAAAATAATTTATTATATTTAAGAAAACGTCAAGTCAAAATCATATCATGTCAATCAAATCAATTATGCTAAAAATAGAGAAAATTAAGCAAATCATGACATGCTCTTTATTTCATTTTATTTTTCGCGCGAAGTCATTCCGACTTTCATCTACTGAGGGCAATACAGATTTCCGACTATGCATGTGAAATGACCAATTCAATTCATGTTATAATAGCAATTTGCAGTATGTCAAACCAACAACACATTAATAGTTTGCCAAATCATGACACGATTTATGACTACGGCCATGACAACCACAGTGGTCCTACATATAAACTGTGGTCACAGCCGTACTTCACCAAATGTGATCCCTATAATCATATCGCATCACCATTCTCTTCAGAGGGTACAGTGTCATCTATAAAGAGCGGTACTCTCACGTTTTTTTAGACCAGATGGAGGAAAATTAGAAACCTCTCAGAGATATAAAATTTAACAAATCATTTTATAAATTATAAATGTTGATACCGATATATATTTCTCATGCTTAAATACCAATTCATGCTTTATCACTTCACCATTGTATAGTATATCATGCATCAACATTTATCATAAGCATTAAATCATTTTAGTTAAAACATGCGAATAATCAATTTATATACGTTCATTTAAACAAGCATTAACATGTAATAATCTTATTTGAGGATACAGGATTAAACATGCAACCTTTTAATTTAAAACTTCATTATTTAATGTAGAAATACTTCTTACTATATTAAAAGTAAATATTAAATTCTTTACCGAAATCTTAGTGATTCTTACGTCTTTTTCTTCTTCTTTTCCTCTCCTTCTCTCTCTAGATATCTCTCTCTCTAAAACTCTTTAGTGGATAGAAGAATGAAGTGAGAATGGTGAGGAAATGTGAAGAGGGTGGTCCCTATTTATAGAAAATGAGGACTATTAACTTTGCGCCAAGTGGCGAAATCTTGTGAGGAGAAAGAAAGTCAAGGTAAAAAGATGGGATGTGATGACTGACGGATGGATGATGCGACGTGACAGTGGCGCGAAAACCAGAGGCACCCGCGCGGATGGGATGTGCGCACAAGCGCACGTCCTGTGTTGGACACGCGCGCGCACACGCGAGCGGCGGCCAGGGTCTTTCCTGCGGGATTTTCCACCGTTTCTCCTTCGTTTTTCCCTAAAATCTTTTATTTGAATTTTAAAAATAATTTATCAACAAATAAATTAATAAAAATAATTTTAATAATTATTGAACTAAATAAACATAAAATTAAAATATAAGATTCATCCATAAATTTAAAATACGAAATTCAAAGAATTTAAACAGTATTAGGGACCGAATAAATAGGGGTTCACATTACAAATTATATACGAAAGTTTTCAGGGTGTTGTAGTCATTCTTTTTCTTGACTAGTAAAACTAGCACTGAGAAAGGGCTGCATCAGTGCTGCAACTGAGATGGATGAGTGACTCGTCCAACATCTTTTTAACTTCTCTATTTCGTTCTTTGGGTGGAACCAATATCAGTAAGGATATATTGTTATTGTGGCATGCTCGCGAGTCAACAAGATGGCATGATTGAAAGCTCTAACTGGAGGTGACGCGGGAGGGTATAGGGAGAATCAAATTTACTCTTTGAAATCCACTCAACGTATGCAATACCAAAACAATAACCGCTAGATTAACCACTCCCTCTAATTGAATCCACAATCCTAAAAGGAAAGGAAAAACAAAGATTAAGGAAGATAAACAACGAAAGAAAAAACGTTACGAACTTACCAATAAGTTGATCTCTATTCATTGGCTCAAAAAGACTTCTGAAAACTCCTGCTTCCCGAATAATTTGAAAAAGCTAATTTTAACAAAAATGTTAAAAGAAGAAAAGCTGAAACTCTCAAAAATTCTCTCAAATTTATTCTCAAATGTTATTTTTACATTCTAGGGACAAAGGTCTATTTATAGTATTTCTCTGGCAATCTAAATGAATACAAAATCTTGATATAATTAATAAAATAATAATTTAGATAAAATTCTATCTTAATTTAGGATAATTACATAATAAAATAATTATTTTTTCCCAAATAAATTAATTAAATAATTTTAAAGAATATAGTTATAATTAAAATAATAATTAATTTAAATTCATATTTATCTCATGTGAAATCTTTTAAAACACATGCGAAAATTAATTTTAACACATGGTTAATTTGAAAATTAGGTCCCAAGCCTTTTTAAAAGATTTTAAAATAATAAAATAAATAAATATTAAATAATTTTAAAAAGAAAAAAGAGGGCCGGCCAGCTTGGGCTACCCGGATGGGCCGGGCCGGCCGGTCCACGCGGGTTTCGTGGGAGAAGGCCGCGAGAGTCGTGGGCTTGTGGGCTTGGCCCAGTTGGGCCTTCCGTAGGCCCGTCCATGCGGGGTGCGCGCGTTCGGCCCTTGGGGCCTACGCGCACGAGGTTGGTTCCGCGCGAGCCTAGAGGGCCACGTACGTGGGGGCTCTCGGGAGCTCATGTGTGTGGTTCGTGCGGGCATATGTATGTGTTCGTGGGCCGTGCAGGCTGGACTGCATGTTCATGGGTTGTGCGGACTGGGCCGCATGTTTGGCGAACGTGTGGGCCTCCTTACTAAGGCATGGATTTTTTTACAATTTTTCAAGCCCATTAATCGTACTTGGGCCTTAAGTCTTGTAGTTTGGACAAACTTGACCCATCTCTTGAAATAATCGCAATTTGGAAAGCATTCAGGGATGAAATTACTTTCTTGTTCTGAGCGTTCCTCGTTGATACAAGATTGCATATTTGGAACTAATTCTGGGTTGTTTAAGATCACATCAGTAGGCAATCCTCGAAGTTCCTCAAAGACATCCTTATATTGGTCAAGTAATGTTTCTAGTTTTTTTGTTGGAGAATTCTGGAATTTGTATATCTTTTTCGATTCTCATCACTAGAAATATGGTTCTGCTTTCAATTGCGTTATTTTGTCTTGCCAATTTTCTTGTTGTCATGTCTTTTGTTTCAGTGATTGAGTTTTTATAAAGGCCGTTTCCATTAAGCTCAATGAGTAAGTCTCTACAGTTGAATGTAATCGTGGCTTTAATAAAGCCGAATATCATTAGATTCAACTGTTTCATCCAATCGACACCCAATATTATATCATATTCACCCAATGGGATCACGTGAAAACTGTATTGTATCTTTGAATGGTCCATGACGCTAGACAAGCGATGCGGTTAGATATCTTTTGCCCGTTGGCCACCATTACCATCCATGGCTTATTTCTAACCACTTGATTGTTGATCCACTTGGCCGCTCCCTCGTCCAAGGAGTGCAAACTTCTACTGTCTAAGAGCATGAAGATGTCCTGCCCTGCCAGCTTCCCTCGTATTTTAAGGATACTTCCCACATCACCTCTTCTGTTGCTTGGATGGGCAAGGTGCCTATGAGGTTTTCTCCATTCTCTACAAGGTTTTTAGTGACCTTTCCTTTCAATGTTTCTTCATTGGCAATCTCCTCCACTGCCATTACAGTTTTGCTTAGGTAATGGTGTCCTGGAAAATATCAATCGCCACATTTGTAGCATGTTATTGTCGCCTTCCTAGGTTCCATTTCTCTTCTCACGGCTTGAGAAGCTCGTTCGTAATTTCTTCCATCAGACTTGTCCAACAGTTGGACAGCTTTGCCGGTGAAATATGAATTTTGAGATATTTCTATTATTGATTGCTCTTGGAGCAGGTTTCGTTCAAATGTTTGGTTGAGCGAGCATAGTTTAAGCAATTTATTATTTGTTGCAATTCTGGTTTGAGTTTGCTGATGAAATTGGAAATAAAGAATTTCTCCAGGAGAGTGAGATTGTCTACGTTCATTAGAGCATACAAATGCTTGAAATGTTCTTGATATTTTGGAACAGGTCCGATTTGTCAGCTTATTGAATTCTTCTATGAAATCTTTTGCGAAGCACCATGAAATCTGCGGCAAAGCTCCTTCACGGAAAACTCCAACTCAAGTTTATTTTTTGCCAACCACTCTTAGTACCGTATATCCGCAACTTTACCAAGCAAGAGTGATGCTACTCCCACTTTTTGTTCCTGCGAAATGTCGTGCACCAAAAAATACTTGTCACATCTCATGATCCAAGTATGGGATTTACACCCTTAAATAGTGGAATTTCTACTTTGGGCAGTCTGGGCAGATTGGGCAGCTGACGAGGGGAGTGTGAACCAGGCCGGCTCATAGTAATTCTTGAACCAGGTTTGGTCTTACTGCACAAAAAAATGGGTTTCTACTCCCTATGCGTGGAAATGGACTGAGGGCTCATTTATCTTGATGCACTTACCTTGATTCTTCTGTCTTCTTTTCTTGCCCTTATTTTTTTTCATCGTTTCTTTTTCTAAGGAGGATATCTCTACTGTTTTTTTTCTGGTCTTGTATTCTAAACAAACTCTTATTAAAAGTTGTAAGAATATAAAATAAAAAATTTTCTTATCTTTTTTTTCAAATATAAGTTATTCTTTATCTTTAACTTTGTGGAAATTGATTTTCCAACCAGATCGTATTTTATCCATACTCCCTGTCTTTCAGCCAATTGCTGCTCAAAATTTGACTTTCATAGGAACCCCCGTTATTTTGAATTTGACTTGCATCCCTTACATTCGTCCGTGTACTAAGCTTGATATCCACGTGCATGTAAGAGAGAATTTCAAGTTTGCCTTTACATATTAAAGTAAAATAAAGAAATGTGATTCAAGTAGAATGAACAAAACTTGTTAGAGAATCTGAAGAAAAGTACTGAACAGTTAGAATCATATTTGATTCTTGTAGCCACACACTTTCCAATGCCATATTGTCTTTACATATTCAAGTAGAACGATAAGCATAATTCATATAGGATGTTTAGTGTCTGGTTAAGGTAATATGGGTATTTAATGCATGTGAATTTCTAATGAGAGCATCCTTCTCTTAGTGCCAAGCTTCATGTGGAGCAAACAGAAATGGATGGTTGAGGTCGTTACTAGTAGAGGTTTAATCGCCTTAAGTGCATAATACAATTTAGTTTACTCCCTTCTTTGATGTTGGAAATATGAATCATCATCATTCATCATCTTTGCTGCAGTCTTCCTCCTTTTCAGCATCGTTATTTATCTACTTATTTATTTAGTTGTTTTTTTTTTTATTTTTGCAGAGAATGACTCAAGAAGACAAGTCTAAGAAGTGTGGAAAAATCCGGTTTTCTGTACTCTTGTCACCCCAACCTGAAATTGAAGAAAATAATAAATCATTTTTCCTTGGTGCTAGAAAATCTGGACTTATTCAAATTAGTCCTACAATGGAGGGTCCTTGGACCACAGTGAAGCTAAACTATGCTACACCAGCTGCTTGCTGGCGCTTAGGCAATGATGTAATTGCTAGTGAAGTAAGTGTGAAGGATGGGAATAGGTACATGACCATTCGGTCTCTAGTTGCAATATGTAACAACACAGATTTTTTGTTGGATTTGTGTCTTATACCTAAAGCTGATACCACAACGCAAGATATATATGTTGGATTGTTAAAACCTGGAGACTCAGTCTCTCTCCCTCTATCAGGCTTGACACAACATGGATTGTATGTATTAAAACTACGACCCGCGGGTCTTGATGGCCCTGAAGAATATTCTTGGAGTTCTGTAGTTGCTAACTCTCGTGAACAGAAGAGTTGTGATGAAATATGCGTATCAACTCTCGCACGCTCTGAAGATTTGTTATGCTGCACTCAGATGAATGGCTCCTCTTCTAGAGTTCCACATCTATTGTGGTTTTGTGTAAGCACACAAGCCGTGGAGATTGCAAAAGACATTCATTCTGAACCTATTCAAGATTGGACAATCTTGCTTAAATCTCCATTGTCAATCACCAATAATCTTCCCCTTGAATCTGAATACTCTGTTCTTGAGAGGCAAGCCACTGGTCATTTTTTAGTCTGCAATAGAGGAATATTTGGTCCAGGCAAAACCGTAAATGTCTACAATGCTGACATAAGGAATCAGCTATTCTTTTCCCTGCTTCCACAAAGAGGGTGGCTACCAATACATGTGAAAACATTAACCTTCTTAATTAAGGCTCATTTACTTTTTTTCCTGCTTTATTTATTTCTTCTTTTTATTTACAGGAAGCAGTTATTATATCTCATCCCCAGGGAATTCAATCAAAGACAATAGAATTTAGAAGTTCAGCTACGGGAAGGTATTATTTTGTGCCAAACAACTCCATTTCAGATTTCATAATGATACATAGAAGTTTAATTCTTTGTGGCTTCATGCTCGAAATTGATTGTATATGCAGGATTGTTCAAGTAATTCTTGAGCAAAACTATGACAAGGACCGACCTTTACTGGCAAAGATTATTAGAATTTATGCTCCATACTGGTTTGCTATTGCTAGATGTCCCCCACTTACACTTAAGCTTCTAGATCTGACTGTGACAAAGCAGACACGGAAGATTGGTTTCCCCTTTCAGTATAAAAAGAATAAGGAAATATTGCTTGAGGAGATAACTGAAGAGGAAATATATGAAGGCCATACAATTGCTTCAGCTTTGAACTTCAAATTTTTGGGCCTCTCAGTGTCAATTGCTCATTCTGGTGATGGGCAATATGGACCTGTTAAAGACCTTTCTCCTCTTGGCGACATGGTGATACCATAATTTTGTATGAAGTCTTCCTTTTCACAAGAGGATTTTCTTGCTAATGCCAGTTTTTTATTCCTTTTGTTCATCAGGATGGATCACTGGATCTCTATGCTTATGCTGCTGATGGAAAATGCATGCGGCTTTTCATATCTACAAAACCTTGTCCCTACCAGTCTGTACCTACCAAGGTAGTAATGTAGTTTAGAGCTATGATTATGTCATATAAATAACAAGCTATTTTACTTATTTTCCTCTTCCTAGGTAATTTCTGTTCGGCCATTTTTCACTTTCACAAACAGACTTGGTGAAGATATATATATCAAATTGAGCAGTGACGATGAACCAAAGAAGCTCCATACAGTTGATTCAAGAGTATCCTTTCTGTATCATGAATCTGGTGGAAGAGAAGAACTCCAGGTCAGTGTGAGCTGCAAAACTTTGCAATATCCTTAATCTTTTATTTGTGTTAATCACGTTTTTTTCTTTTCAAAAATAAATTTGCTTGTTTTTATGTTACAATTGTTACATGCTATGTTATGTTCCAGTTTTCTCAGCTACTTACTATCTTCAGCTCAATTTAAATAAAGGAACTTTTTGAGTTGATTCTTGATGTTTTACTAACAATAAGCTTCCTACTTTTGGTGTTAGTTCATTCTAATGGAGTATGGAAGGATGAAAAGATGAGAAATTTTTAGAAGTTTAGTACAACTATAATGGAGAAAGACTTCTCTTACAGTTCATGATCTTGGAAGTAGTTCCTCCTTTTTCACTAATCTTGTTCTTTATTCACTTTTAATGTTTTCTCAGCCCTTAGAAATAATATATACATGCTTATAAAAACTGGTTGTCTCCAAAAGATGTTTTGAGAATAGGGAACTAGAAGGAAGCTCATCAACAGCCATACTAAGTGTATACACTGATGGGCACCAGATTATATAAGTACGTTGTTGCCCAAATGGAGATGGCATTTTAGGATTATATTTACTAGTTTGTTATGTAAAGATTAAAACAGCATGTTCAGTCCCCATGTTATCTTTGGGATAAAGTGGTGATCTTAGCTTGTTGGCTGAGGAAGATGGGTGTTTTCAGTGGCTACCTTCAATCCTAAAAGTGGGCTGAGCTACTTTTTTTTTTTGTTTTGCAGCTAATTTCTCTTTGATCCCTTCCTTTGCTTTCTTTTGTTGTATGTTCTAAGAGGGTATCTTATGGTCCCGCTTTGTATCTTCTTCTTCTCTGATAAATCTCCCTTACCAAAAAGAAGAAATAGTGCTGTCTATATCTTGTAGGTGTTGTCAACCCACCAAACACATCTTTAGGTAACAATTCATTATCAGATATGCATTATGCGTTAATAAGTTTGCATGATATTCTTTTCCGATGCTTATGATCTTTCGTATCTTTTATAATCATTTTTATCGGGAATTTTTAGAAGAAGAACATCATCGCAAGAATTCAAAAGAAGGGTATTGATTGCTTTCCAATAGAGCCAACCTGGATACGATGATAAATTTATATGCTATCTACTGTCAGTAAGCATGAAAGATTTGTTTTTATTTAATCATCCAGTGTTAATATCCTATAATGCATGTATATATCATCTTTTCTGTTTCACCAAAATGCCTTCTGCTAACTAGGTGATGTTATGGCATCCTTTTTTCTTTTCCTTCAGCATTTATTTCTCTACCGTTTTATTTTTTTTAAGGTACTGTTAAAATTTTAGGTCTGCCTAGAAGATACAGAATGGTCATTTCCAGTTCAAATTGTAAAAGAGGACACAATCACTTTGGTTCTGAGGAGGCATAATGGTACGCGGAGATTTCTGAGGACAGAAATACGGGGATTTGAAGAAGGTTCACGTTTCATAGTTGTATTTCGCCTTGGATCAACCAATGGTCCTATCAGGTACTGTCTATATGACATGTGCACACACGAACACAGTCATGCAAACACTGATGCTTTCCTGTATGCTCTTGCTAACCTGTCAAACTCTTAAAAACAGGATTGAGAACAGAACAACTGATAAGACCATTGGTATTCGCCAATCTGGGTTTGGTGACAAATCCTGGATTCAGTTGGAATCTCTTTCAACAACAAATTTTTCTTGGGAAGATCCATATGGTCAAAAAGTTATTGATGCTAAGATTGATAGTGGCTTTAGTTCTCGAATTTGCAAAATTGACATGGAAAGCATTGGATTATCTTCTGAGGTGCAAAGGGAACTAGGGATGCAGTTCCATGTTGTAGAAACTGGTGACATCAAGGTTCTTAAGTTCACAAATGATTGCATACCAGCAAGTTCAGGGGAAGGAAATAGCTCCGTTGTAGCTTCTGGAAACCTGGGAAATTCTCAACTCCAAAGTGTAACAGAGAGTGATATTACAACTTTAGAGCTTATAGTTGAATTGGGAGTTGTTGGAATTTCTGTTATTGATCACAGACCTAAAGAACTCTCTTACTTGTACCTGGAAAAAGTGTTTGTATCATACTCAACTGGGTACGATTGTGGAACAACGAGCAGGTAGGAGACTTTTATATGTTCAAATAGTTCCATTTTCATTGTTAAGTTTGTATGTTAACTATATGAAACCCAGGGACATGACCTACTTTTTTGTGGTTGTTTAAAGCTTTTCCTGCTGGCTTATGTTTGGTCCCTTTGATTATGAACATTTGTAAAGGATAGGATTTTAATTTTCCTTCAAAGAGAAAAGGTTAATGAAAGGCATACCATTACTAAATTAGCACTTGATACAACAAGTTTGTTCTATTGCTTTTATGTAAATCATTAAATCTCCAATTGGGAACGGTTCTTTTTTTTCTAACTACTCTATTCTTTTTGTGATGAGGAATGTTAAATAATTGAGTTGAATGACCACATCTTAAAAACTTTAACCAACAAGAAACAACCTAAATTTGTTATACATACTCTCCCAGGCAGTTTGCCAAGTGCTTACCTCCTCTTTATGTACAAATGGATGAAGGTGATGTCTGCAGTTCAAATCCAGGAAGACCCACAAATTTTGCTTGAAAAGAAATCAGTTTGTTTTTATTGCCTCTGAATTAATTTTTTGAATTTAGTGTTTTAAGTGAGCAAATGGAGTATTTTGCTTCCCTTGCAAGTAATAATTTTGAATTTTATGCTATAAATGAACGGACCATTATTTTATCTTTTGCCAGGTTCAAGCTCATACTGGGTGGTCTGCAGATTGACAACATGCTTCCTTTAAGTTTAATGCCAGTGCTCTTGGCACCTGAACAGATGGGTGATGTGCATCATCCAGTTTTCAAGATGACAATTACAATGCACAATGAGGACACAGACGGCATTAAAGTCTTCCCTTACGTATACTTAAGGGTATGCTTTATCTAGGTGCTTCTGAATGTTATTCATTGTTCTACGTGCACCAGTTTAATGCATATATTAAGTCTACTTTGATATGATAGGTGACTGAGAAACCTTGGAGACTGAACATTCACGAACCTATCATTTGGGCTTTTGTGGATTTGTACAACAATCTTCAGTTAGATCGCATCCCTAAAAGTTCTAATGTCGGTCAAGTTGATCCAGAGATACGCATTGAGTAAGATTCTCATGTTCTTCCTGCCAACAGATGAAAATAAACTTTTAGTATCTACAGCAAACCTAGCATAATTTTCAAGGTTTCTAGATATCATTTGTAAATTGAAGTAAATATCACCTTGAGTTTGAAAAGAAAAATGATAGAATATAATTAACATGCTCTTAGTAGTTCTTATAGATGAAATCCTCAAGATTTCAGCAAATCTCCAATTGCTCATCCCTCTCAAGGTGAACCCGGAATATAATTAGCATGTTCATCCATGTATCTGGACCGCAACGGTACATCACAGGAATAAGTGTAGACCAACCAGTGCTGATTCTATGCTCAACCAGAGGAATTCTTTTAAAACTTTTTTATTATGTCTTGACTATTGATGAATGCAGCCACAGATTTCTCACTGATACTTTTTACTTGATACTTCCCATAGACTTGAGTC